TTTCTACGTATTTATATTAACTTTTGTTCTTATCTCATAGGCAACAATTGGTACTGACTTTTCTACTAAAACTATGACATTTCAAAATAAATCCATTCAACTACAAATTTGGGATACTGCAGGACAAGAACGATATCGATCATTAATTCCAAGTTATATTAGAGATTCATCAGCAGCAGTGATAGTTTATGATATTAATGGTTTGGTGTTTTTATTATATATTGTTTGTGTATTATGTTCATAAAGAAACCGATTTAAATAGAAAGGGAAGAATTTTGATGAATAAGTTACTTTTCCAAATGAATAAAAAGATTAACTTAATGTAGATAGACAAAGTTTTGAGAGTGTAGATAAATGGATTGAAGATGTACGTTCAAAAGAAAAAGGAGAAATTTTCTTATTTTTGGTTGGAAATAAATTAGACTTAGGACATCGAGAAGTTACACAAAAAGAGGCATTGGCAAAGGGACAAAACTATCAGTGTATGTGCTTTGAGACTAGTGCTAAAACTAATATTAATATTACTGAATTATTCAATGCAATCACAGAAAAATTAAGTACATTAGAACCACCAGTTGAAGAACATATTGAGACTGTTTCACTTGGAAGTAAGAAAGCTGAGAATGAAAGCAACGGAGGATGTTGTTGAGTTTGTAATTTCAAAATAATACAATGACAAAATTTTAAGTTTTTTATTCGTTATAAATAACAATAAAAAAAATACAAAAAAAGAAAAAGAAAAACTAAAAAGTTTTAAGATTGTTGGGGAAGTTAAAGGTAATGTCAGAGACAAATCCCCAAGACAATGATGTTATGGTTCAAAACCAAATTATAAAAGAAGTCTACAATAAAACAGAGCCATTTGCAAGGTCATTTAATGATGAAAAGAAATGGAAAGATATTACTGTAGAATTTAAAAAGTATTGTAATGAAGAAATAAAACAAGGAGAATTTAAAGGAGATGAAAAATTAAGTTTGGCTAAGGTATTACATTCAGTCGAAGTATTTAATCCATTTATGGATGTTGGACATTTACTTAAAGATAATTATCGATCAGAAGAATTATTTGAAGCAGGAAAGATAAAAGAAATTGAAAAATTTAAAGATAAAGAGTTAATAGAGTTATTTGATTCATTATTTATATTAGAACAATTATATTTTCATGGGAAAATGTGGAATCATACAATGAAATGTTGTGATTATGTTAATTTAGTAGAAAAACTTAATAAAGAAAGTATAGGATATGTTATTGTTATTTCAGAATTAAAAACATGTTCATTATATTATAAAATGGTAATGTCAATTGGAGTAGAAGAAGAAGAAATGGATTTTAGTGAACAAGGGAATCAATTTATTACAGAAATGGGAAATGATAAATTCTATTCCATGATTGATGAAGTACTTAAAAAAGGAATTAGTAAAGAACTTAAAGAACGACTTGAATTTAGAAAGGAATATATAAAGGCATTAGAAGAAATTGGAAATAAAAAAAGTACAACACTTCCAAAAATACCAGAAGATATGAAAACAACAGAAAAAAGATTTATTAGAGAGAATTTATATGCTAGAGATATAACATTTGTACCAAATATAAGAAGATATGAAATACCAACACTTGAAGAAATAAAGAAAATATATGAAAAAGATGCAGAAGAAATTAGAAAAACAAATGAATTAATGCCTAAAGAAAGAATAATGGTAGCATATTGTGGAATACATAAAATATTTATGTGTCCAATAAAGAATTTACTAGTTAGATATATTATTAGAGAATATGTATTAGATAATATTCAAGAAAAAATAAAAAAAGGAATGAAAGAAGTTGGATTAAATCAACAACGAATTGAAGTTGATAAATTATTTTATGAAAGACTAGGAATGGTATTTGGTGATATTATTAAAATGATGACACATAATCAATCATACTTTTATCGTAGTTTTTCAATTTTACTTGAAGTATTTGAAATGACACATAATGATGCATATCAATTTGATTTACAACAAATACAAAAATATCCACCACCAACATTTAAACCACAATTTATAATGCCAGGACATTATATTAATGGATATCTTATGCAAATTAAATTTTCATTAATGATAAAATACCTTTTGATAGGTATTTCATTAAAATTATACAGTGATTATGAATATCATATGATTTATTGGTATATCTCTATTTTATTTAGTATGTCATATGAACATTTAAATGAATTTAGAATACAATTAGATATGGATAGAAGAATGTATTCAATATCAAAAAAATCAAAGAATATCAAACCATCAAAATTAACACCAAATATGGAACAATTAACTATATTATTATATAAGACATTAATAAGTGGAATTGCTAAACTCCTTTTAGCATTAAATAAAATGAATATTATCAAATCACCAGAATTTTTACTTGGTAATAATAAATATCGTTATGAACTTAGATTTTCTGCATTTGAAAAATGTCATACACCACAATATATTCCATTTGAAAAATATGAAGAACAACGTACTAATAACATTCAACCAGGATTAATTATTATCGACTCTATTAATGAATTGAAAAAATGTAAAGAAATTATTGAAGAAATTAAATTGAATAATAAAAATAATTATCTTCCTAATGAAATGGTTGGAATGTTATATAAAATATCAATGTCTAATATGTTAACTGCAATGAAATTAATGAAAATTCATCCTACTTCAACAACAAAAGCAGTGTTTTCATTTGATGATATTGACTATCTTCCAATAATTTCTATTAAAGATAATTGACTTCTTTTTCTTTAAAACTTATTTATTAAATAAATATCAATCAATCATGAATTAA